ATTAAAATATATAATAATTTATTTAAGTTTTAATTTTGGCCTGCACGCACGTGCAAGTATAATTTTTTTATAGACACAATTAATTGTAAAATTTAAATATTGATTAATTTTTTCTACATTATGTAAATGTTATGTTTTTATACATATATAATTTTAGTTATTAACAATAATCCCACAAGCATTTCATATTGTTTTGTGTCTTCTAAAAACTTTTTATTTTTCCTAGCGTTTACAGTAACTTATAATTGCAAATGTAAAAGTTATATTAAATAATAATTAAATTATTATAATACGTTTTGAATATTATCTATATAATACTTTCTTTTTCATTTTACATAATATAATCTTTCCATTATATATATTTTAAATATATATTTTTTCTTGACCTAATGCTAATGAAACCAAAATGAATTTACCATATTTATTTATCCTAAGAGTGGTGAGGTGGTTGGTACGCATGAATAAAGATTTTTTAAAAAATATAGATTGTCTAACAACTAAAATTAAAATTAGAGTGTAATCGAGGTTAACAAAATATATGCACGACAAATTTGCATACGAGTTTGAATTTTGCAAAATTAATATTTATATTTACACGCATATTTGTAAGAAAATTGAAGTATGGCTTTTATGTGTTAAAAGAAAATAACAAAGTATATGTTTTATAATATATATTTTTTATTGCGTGGTTAATTTTTTAAAAATAATAATAATAAGTATATTTATAATTAGATATAAGTGAATGGTAATATTTAGGTGTTGGTAAGTTTTTCTGGTATTTTCTGTAAACATTATTTTTTACACGATGCAGTTATTGGTGTTTAACAACAATCATGCAAATTGTTTCTATCGTTTTGTATTTAATTAAAGTTTCTTATTTTTCAGCGTTTGATGATATATGGTTTCTAAATAAAAAATATAATAAAAATTTATTATAAAATTTGTGAAATCATATTTTATAAAATTCTCTCGTAGCTCTCCGCTCATCTCTTCGTCAAATTTTTTATAATCCACAATCTCTCGATTCTACAAACTCTATGTAACCGAATCATTTAAACCAATCGGATCTATACTTATATGTGTATGATTTAAAGTGTAAAATAATATATTTAATATTTGATTTTTATTAAAAAAATTAAGAGTTGATCTATTTCTAATTTTAATATATTTATTAATATAAAATATAATGGATCACAACATATACAAAACTTGATTCATGAAATAATGTTATAATATGTTAGAAAAAATATATGCATGAAAGAATTAATATGTGTAAGGTAATATTTTTAAATATTTTAAATAAACACTTAAAATCGATCAAAATTATTCTTATTTTTTTTTGTCTTCTTTGTCTCATAGTTTTTTTCTTAACATTTAATAATATATTAAACATTGAGATCATCTCTAATATATTTTTCTATTTTTTTCCGCTAAAATATATTTGGACTTCTTTCTAACCTATTTCTATTATACAGGAAAAAAAGATTGTTATTTTTTTCTCTATAATTGGAAGAAAAAATAACAACCCTTCTTTTTTCTCTAAAATAGAAGATTTAAAATAAATGTAGAATGTAGATGCTTTAAACCAAAAATATAGGCTGAAATTTTTACATAAAATCAAAGTCTTAAAGATTTACTTTTATTTATATTTTTACTTTTTATTCATATATACAATATTATAATAAAAAGTTATCTAAGAGGCTATTTATAATTTATTTTTCTATCTGTTTATTTTTTGTTTCATTTATAATTTTGAATTCTTGCTATATAATGAGAATTCATTCATATATGATATAAACTATTTTTTGTTTAAAAATGAGATTTATTTAACTTAACCAATCAAAATATTTTGTTTATTTTAGAAAATTTACCATGTCACATATTATGAGGTGACATTGTTTTGCACTAACTTTCTTAAAGTGTTAGACACATAGAATTTTTTTAGTAAACCTGCTTCTCAAATAATAGTTAGGATTGTACAGTAATCCAATAATGAATGTAATAAATCCTGAATAAACCGAGAATTTAAATGACCAGCCCTAATAATTGAATGCTCATCCATGATTAATTTCCTTTAATAGTATACACTATACACAATACATACATTTTATTCTATTTAGACATGGACCAATCCATTGAATTATTCACTGCCTTAAGGAGTCTTTATGTAATATTAGGTTTTTAACTCGTGCGTAGTCTGTATTAATGATTTAATTTAATTCTTTTTTTTGGTTCATATCTTTTAAATTATAAAAACTATAATATCTTTATAGAAATTTTCTTTTATATAAAAAAAATTAAAACATAATTTGTAGTCTTTCCTATTTTTTGCTTAGAAAATTTAAAATTTTATTAAGTCTAATCATAGTAATGACACCTAACGAATTATTCAACTTCAACATACATATATTTGATTTAGAAAATGATTTTCTTACTAAACTTTTGGTATTTTGTCTTGTATCCTTAGGATTTCTATAGTTGTTCTTTTTTAAGATTTTATATGTTCAAATATTTAGTTATTGATTAAATATCTCACTGATGTTGTGTAACTATGCATACATAATATATGATTCATGTTGATTCAGATTTACTTTTGTTAGGATGCTACAATAGTTGTGTAAAGCTTCTTCTGCTTCTCCATCAGATCTTCTACGAAGTTTAGGTTATATCTCTATTTAATTTATAAAAATCTGTTTTATTTGCAGTTAACTATTTGATAATTTTTTTTAAAAAAACTTGTAAGATAGTGTGGAGTCTTCATATTATTTTTCACTATTTTTATCTTTTGTGTGTTTTATTCATGTTTTAATTTGAATAGTTTATATAGATATATTCTAATTTAAATTTGATTCACAACATTGTCATACATTATTATTTAAATAGAATTTTAGAAAGTGTTACTCATGTGCTGTTCATGTTTGCTAAGTTATAAGTAGTAGCTATGTATAAAAAATTAGACATTATTACTTGTTATATTTCGAATGTAGAGTTACTTGTGTTATATTTTTTTGTTAGTTTTTAAATCAGACGTAGCCAAAGTATTAGTCTTTATAAATTTAAATAATATATTTGATTTAGAAACTCGTATAACATACTGTAATTTTATATGGTTATTCATAGTGAATACCAATATTTTAGAAATCATAAATTTTCTGGAACTAAATTTCAAACTAATTTTCTTTTTAGATTTTGTTTGTTTATTATTATACATATCTTTTAATAGTAATTTTATATTTTATTTTAATTTATATAATTTTTTGCATGTTTGATATACTTAAACATATATATTTTTAATTAAGCTATTTTGTTATTGATTTTTCAAATAGGTAGCATATATATTAATTAAATCTTTTTTACATAAGTGTTTTATTGTTAAATTTTAATTTTAATTATAATATTTTTTTGACATGCTATAACTCGATATTCTAAATTTTATGTGGACTTATCTCAAAAGCTTATACCATCATTATTTTTTTTAGTTCATATTTTTATGTTGATTTTTCAAAACATTAGCCTAAATATCAAGCTAATTTACTGTATACGAATTTTGCCTTTGATAATTTATCTCTCTTGATACTGATTTCTATTTTATTTTAACACAAAATATTGACATTTTTGAAGACATAATTTCATTTTTTTGTTATTTTACTAGTTAAATTTTGTTTATATTGATTTCTTAAGTAGTTAGTCATATATCAAGTCAATTTCTTTTTTGATGAATTTTTTTAAATATAAAATTTTGTAAAAAATAATTTTCGTTTTATTTATTGATTAATTAATTTCTTAAAACTGATTTTTAAATAAGTAGCTTAAATATTTATCTTTTTTTTGTTAGTTAAGTTTTTTTAGTATGACTTAAGTTTTTTTATCCTCTTACTAATTTTCTTTATATTGATTTTGTTAAATAAATAGCATAGATATCAAGTTAATTTCTTTTTTTTTCTTTGTTAATTTAACCTTTTTGATATGAATTTTTATTTTAATTGTATTGACATGGTGTAAGAAATAATTTTTGTTTTGTTTTTTGTTAGTTAAATGTTTTTATCTTCAGTAAATAATATAAAATATTATTTTTTGGTTAGTTGAGCTTTTAATGTTGATTTTCTAAATAATTAGGCTATATATCAAATTTTTGATGACTTTTTTTTTGTTAATTTAACATGAATTTGCTTTTGTAGTATTGATAGTTTTAAATAACAATTTTATATGTATATATAACAATTTAACTTTAATATTTTTGTTAAATTAATTACTCATTTAAAATATATATGATAATTTATATTAACTTTCCATTATACTATGATAATTTATATTTTTGTATTTTTAATTTATTTAAATTGTTAATCATATTAAATATTTTTTATGTTTAATATAAAACACTGATTTTGACCAATCAAATTGAGTTTCTATATTCAATGTGGACGCTTTCATCAGTATAAAACATCAACATAGACCATAACTAATATATTTTAAGTTAGTAGCTCAGATTATAATTGTTTATCATAATTAAAAATTTGAAATAGTTTAATGATGGTCTTAAATAGATTTTTTAATTATTTTGTTTAATATATATGATTTTTCCTTAATAATCTATTTATATGTTAAATTACTTTTTGTTGTAAATAGAAAAATAAGATCTACTTTCTAACCTTTTTTTATTAATAACTAATTTAAAATTTAGAAAATTTCCTAATAACAACAAAAACGAAATTAATTAAAAATTGAAAATTGAAAATTTTCTTTTTAAAAATAAAAAAAACAAAATTAATTAATTTAACAATATATAATTAACTAAAGATAATGATGATGTGTACCAATATAATTGAATCTTTAAATCTTATGTGGACATCCTTAGAGGCATTTAACATCAACTTTTATTAGTAATAGATAAACGCTTTTTTTATATAACCCACACTTATGTAAGGCTAGAATTGAAATGGAGAAAAGGGAAATATACAGTACGGTGTTTATTCTAATCTATTTGGTGGGGGTGTGCTCGGATGGCATGCTCGGGGCTAACGCACAAACATATCGTATGTACCTAATCTGAAAATGATAAAACGAAACAATTTAATTATTTTGCTTTTTACAACTTCATTTCAATGTTATGTATATTGATGTTTTTTTATTGTGTTACACGTCTGTACGCATGCAGCTCTCGATATCTCTGCAGATGACTGGGATGATCTCGTGCTCAACTCCGAACTTCCCGTACTGGTTATGTACACGACCCTGCCCTGCTCTAAATTTCCAGATACTTCCTACACGGAGACGTGCAGCGTGAACCAGGAACATTTGAACAATGTGGCCAATCACTTTATAGGGAGGATCAATATGTATAGAATCGACGTTGGTAACTATCCACGGTTCGAACCAACTGCTATTGAGTTTGGGATGATTGATGGCGGCAAGCTAAAGGACACTTTGGTGTCTCGGTCCGACTCAGAAGAAGAATTATTGATGTTCATTACAGGATATTTAGGTAGTCTTCCCAACTCATATTTGTAATTGACTATATAATCTCCATTACTGAATGTGTTTGTTTGTTATTATTTACTTCTCGTTAATTTTACATTTTTACCGTGTAACTAAAACCTATTGCGTTAGCTTTACTATTAAATTTAAACGAGCCGGTAATGCGCAATTTATGATAATTTGGTGTCCAGAAGAATGCTCTGATACGATCAACCTATTAAATCACTTGGTTGATAAACATTGTGTCTAATCTTTGTCTAAAATATTACCCAAAAAAGTTACTTGATCTTAGAAAGGTGAATGTTTCATCATTAACAAAAGAACAAGAAGAAAAATAGATTTATTTTACAGGTACAAAGAATAAAGCTATTAGGTCAAAAAAAAAAAAGTTGCAAGGTAACTAGTAAGTATATAACTTTTTTATCATTACTAATGTTCGTTGGTAAGAGGTTTTATAATCTAAACATGAAATCTACCTATCTACGACTCCCTAAACAAGTATACTCAAGAATGTTAAAAGTTTTTGGCTTCCAACTCAAAACCAATTATCAATGCATAGAAAAAGTAGAAAATTTCTGAGTTAGTAAGTAATCGTTATAAATCATCAGAAAAAATTAACAAAACCCATATATTTTTTCTAAAAAGTAGAAGAATTTAGAGTTAGTAAGTAATCATTATAAATTATTTGATTAATCATATGCTTAAGGGGGATGTCTGAAATGTCAAATGAATATTGAATAATGGAATAAAAGAAATAAAATAGCAAAATACACGAATGGTTTTTTTTGTCTAATGTGTATAAATACTGTATATAACAAAGTTATTTTTTGTTTTTTTATAATTTGAAAACTTGAAAATGCGAGTGATTAACAATAGTAAAAAATATATTTTAAAAACACTGAAAAAAAAATGATATAACATTCTTCCGAAATATAACAAACAAATCATTGTGCTGTTTTACTGGCAATTAATCAACTAAAATATCGATTTTCAGAACAATCAATTAATCCACAAGTTAGCTGATTAATCTTAAAACGGATGATAATTCGTTGTATCTTTCCACCCAAGTAATCGAATTTTATTGGTTACTATAGACTAGTAGTACTTTTGTGCTTCCCACGTCGAACAAGGCTCCATTCCTGAAATAGTCATCAGCGAAGTTTCCCATCTCTTAACCCTAAAAGGATCGTATTTGTATTCCGTATATCTTTCTCTCATTTCCATGAATCGATCTCCAAACTCTCCCTCGAGATTTATCACGTCGTTCTTGCTCACATCGTAGAAGATAGGAATCACCAAGAGTTTGTTTTCTTTAGCTCGTTCCTTCATCGTCACAAGCTCGTCCAAGCACCATTCTGTCTCTAGATAGCGCAAAGAGAAGAAAGCGAGAGCGATTGTTGACTCTTCAGTACAAGTGAATATATGGTTTAGGTCTCTTCCCCACCATTCTTCTCTGTCTATCAAAACGTTGAGTATCCCTAAATCTTCCAAGCCCCACACGAGATGTGTGATGAAATCATCAGGCAGCTCGGTTGCACCTGAATTGATAAACACTTGAGGTGGTCGTGTTCTTGCTTGATCCATCGTTGAGCGTTGGTTAAGAGAGGTGAGACGATGTTGTTTGTTGGGTTTTGGAGTTTGCTTCTCAGTTAAACAAAGAGAAACGAATTAATATAGTATATATAATACGCAAAGACTTTGAAAAGCCTTTGCTTTACACTATGAAAAATAAAATTAGAAGACATTTTCCTATCTATTATAAAAAAAAAAAAAAATTTCTTAGTCGACAGAGTCTACGACCCTCAAAGTCTCTCTATAGGAATGTGATTTATATATGTTTAGATTCATTCTAACATTTTTAATTTGTTTGTGTGGTTAGACAGCAGCTGTAAACAAATTCAAAAACAAATTATTTCATTAACAATTAGAACATTAAAAATGCGACAGTGAAACGAGAAAGAAACTTATTTTGGGTTCTTTGCGTTTACATTTTTCGTTTCCTTGTTTATAATAGCCTAATCATTATAACATTTTTAACGGAAATACAAATTCCAAACGCAAACAAACAATCGTGGCATAAGATTATCGTGACCATTCACCAATCTCTTTCCACTTCATGATCAGAGCGTAGACAAGAATCAACAGATAAGGAACAATTACTACTGTAAGGAGAAGAATTAGACTTAGGTAACGGACAACAGATCTTATCATTTCCTCTGTTCTTTCCGCCAAATGGTTGCGTTTTGCTTCAACAATAGTTCTTCTCTCTCTCCGTGATATCTTTTATAGTAAGACTTGCTTAAAATCCTCTGGCAAATGTGATGACAGAGATCAACAGATCTTTTAGAAACCAAGTTATGTTCCGACTTAACCAAGAACAGAGTATCAAAAACAGAGTATTCTGACCAAGAACAGAAGAGAAGGTAACCAAACCAAAATTGTATTATCACACGCTCTCTATCTCCTCCTCGCGTTATCTATAGACAGAGTGGTGTTTGAGCGAGCTTGTGAAGATGAAGGAACGAGCTAACGAAAACAACCTCTTGGTGATTCCTGTTTATCTATGATGTGGATTGTGGACGTGAGAAATCTCAAGGGGGAGTTTGGAAACCGTTTCTTGGAAATGAGAGAAAGACAAAATACGATCCGTCTAAGGTTCAAAGATGGGAAACCTCGGTGACATCTTAACATTAATACAAAAAAAAAAAAAAAATTATGTGACGTGTGTCTCAAGAAAGGAGCCGGGTTTGGCGTGGAAAGCACAAAAGTATGACTAATCTATAATAACCAATGTTCTAATATTGTTTTTTTTTTGCCAAACTACTCAGCGGTTGACCAACGCAATGAGGCGTCCGTTTTAATGATTAATCAGCTGTTTATGGGTGAATTAATTGATTTTAATAATTATAGCAATTAAGCATTGTCTTAAAAATACCATGGTTTCCTACGAAATTAAACTTTAGAAATTAGATTTAGATCCAACTCTCATATGAATAACAGAGTAACATAATAACTGAAAAATTGTTAGTAAAACAAACTAAACGAAATAAAATTTTCACTAAATAAAATGCTGACAAAATAATTCTAACATGTTAATTATATATACCAGAATTACTTTTTTTATAAACATGAAAATTTGATAAATAGTATTAATGGTAAAAATGGCAAAATCACAGTTAATGTAAAAGACTTGCATACCATTCAGGCATATTGTAATTATCTTGACCACATTGTACTTATGGAGTAGTAGATTTAATTTTTATAGATGAAAAAAATGTCTTAAAAACATGCATGACTCATTGATGAAAGTTATGAGGAATTCTCATGAAGAGAACATGACTATTGTTTTCTCTTTTTTTCTGCCTATGCTCAATAACTCAAGAAATCATAACTAAAACCTGATTAAGACCAGACACACGACAATAATGTATTGTACGTGCTCTTGCTACATAGCATACATGTTAGATCTTTAACTTTAGGCCCCAATGTTTCTAGTTAGCTAATTCACCTAATAGCTAATAATATTAATATTGACCAAGAACTAAACTTATCTCATGCAACAATAGTTATTCGTTACAAATCAATATAATGTATGATAAAACCAAATAAATAAATAAAAAATCAATATTAGCAACAAAAAAAAAATCCAACATCTTTGGTCGTTACAAAATCACTACTCGATCATCATTAACCCATCGACCATTCAACTTCGATTGGTTGTCGAACGACCCGGTAAAATATAATATACCGCAGATTAATAACAAAATATAAGGAGCAGCAAGCATTACAATAAGAAAAACCAGAACTCCTCTAGGTAAAACATATATAATCATCGCCTCTATTTTTCCTGACATAGAGTTGCGGTTTGCTTCGGCAAGTTCATCTCTTTCTCTTATTTGTCTAACATATTCTTCTTCTTTCATGGAGATATGTGTTAACATTTTCTTAACCTCTTCCGCGATTGACTTAGCGATTTTCTTCTTATACCAGTAACGGTAGAAAAAATAACGGCATTCTGTAAGATACCTGTCACAACAGTAACCAAGATCAAATGATCAATAGGTTTTATTTGTTTTCGTACGTGTTCTGCAAGTAACACGTCCTATTCTGACTCTCAACTAAGAATAGAGTCTTGAAACACACGAAAGGGACAAGAGATGAAAAAAAAAACCTGAGATCTGCAGAAAAACCAATCTTTGTTGAAACACACTTTAAAGCTGTCTCCCAATTCGCCGACTTTTTTGCTTCATGGAGATGTTTATCAACCAGTTCCCGAAAATTGTTGCCAAATTTTCCTCTCAAATTCTTCACATCGTTAGTTTTCACGTTGTAGAAAATAGGAAATACTCGAAGATTGCCTCCCTCCATGCATTCTTTGATCGTAACCAGCTCGTCTAAGCACCAGCCCGAGCTGCTGTACATCTCGGAGAAAATGGTGACCGCTATTCTCGACTCTGCGATCCTCTCGAAGAGAATCTCTATCGGTTCGCCTCTCACCTCATCTGTATCTACATAGACGTTGACTTGCTCGTCTTTTAGGGCTTTAACAAGAGTCTTTAGAAACCCTTTACGCAGCTCTGCTCCTCGAAAGTTGATGAACACTTGATACTGCGGCGGTCTAGTGACGGATGAAAAGGAGTAGGCAAATGTCATCGGAGATTGTGCGCTTTGATGGAGTTGTATGGAGAGGAAAAATAAACGGCGAAGATAATCGTTTACCCTTGTGATTTTAATGACATCAACGTGTTTTTTTATTTTTTTCTGAGCAAAATGGCATCAACGTGTTTTGATAATTATTCAATAATTGGCCGTAATTTAATCAAGTTGACCGTAATTTTTATTCTTTCATTAATCCATCTAATTATATAGACACACACAGCAAAAAAAAAAAATATATATATATATATATATATATATATTTGAATTGCGTTTTATATTCATGTCATCCGTCGATCTAGCAGATAGAAAATACTCTGTGGTTAATTTAGTTAATTGTTACATGTACGTTTCCTAGCCTAATTATTTTGTAGTTCGTTTTTTTTACACACGAGAGACAATTCATTCCAAAACTCATACATGCCTTCTTCATATGAGAAGTTGTTTTCTATTTATAATTTGATTGTAATCCAATAATGAATGTTACAAATCCCGAATAAACCGATAATTTTTGTATGACCAACCCTTATAATTGAATGCTAACCTGCCTTAAGGAGTCTACGCCATTATCGTAAGTCTTTATGATATGGACCAATCCATTGAATTATTAACTGTCTGAAGGAGTCTACGCCATTATCATAAGTCTTTATGTAATATAAACTTTTTTTACATAACACTTATCTAAGGAATAGGACTATGAAATGGCATACAGAATCAGGCAACAACATAAAACATTGTGCTCTCTAATAGTAGTCACGTATAACAAACAATGATATCAGCTAATTTACAAACAATGCTAATTGGTTCTTGTGTTTGTTGCTGTCTTGTTACGAAGGAGCTTGTCCTCATCCGCAAGTAACAAGACAGCAACCAAAACAAGAATCAGTTAGCATTCTTCAAAGATCTCGCATCAATGAAGAATAAAGTAACCAAAAGAGCCTTCAAGGAAACTTGCTAATCACTCAAAATGATCTCCGCTGACATGTGAGGTGCTTTCTTAACCGCTTTTAATTATCTCCGTGATTAGACCAACAAAACCTGTCTGCAATATGCATCCGAGAAACGAATGAGATTGGGCAACACAAGTATATAGTGTCTTTTTTGGTAATAAAACCAAGAAATTGATTTCATGTTCTTCTAGCTAGCTAACTCTTTTGCTAACTATCAAAATCTAGGAGCTGGTTAAATTTGTTCTTTTAGAGTAAATCAAAGGACTCATCTTTCACATAAGACTTATTAATCCTTCTATTCACATCTATGGGATCAAATAGGAACCCTCTGCCTAAAAGTCTCCAAATACTATACTAATAAAACAATACCTGTGATTATGTTAGCATTCAATCTTCAGAACCTTGCCCAAGCATCAATCTGACTCCTCAAACTTCTGAGAAGGTGTTGTGTGTGTCTCCTGATTAATGAATAAGTTACGTGGCATTTGTCTATCATGTTCCATGCGTCTGGCTTCTTTTCTGCTGTTTTGGTTTCCCATCCTTCCACTCCATAAACAATCCAATAGCCAAAAGGCAAAGAAATATAGCAACTAGCGGCCAAAAGAACTTCAAGAACCTCAAGTAATAGTGAGGAGCAAAGACGATTACACAGAAAAAACTAAGAAAGATGTAACCCAATAAATCATCAAGCCAGCCACCACTCTTTTTCGAAGAACTTATATATGGGTTTGCTTCAACGGGTACGTGATGTGGTTCCGCGTACACAAGACTTATCCCACAATTCACCACTTCACTTTTACAGGCATCATTAACGTAGAACTCAAGGAAGGCCTTTGTATGTATAGAGTTATTACCAGAGTATTGATCCTCCAAACGTTTTTCTAGGTGTAAGCAACTAGCGTAGCCGATAAAAACATGGTCTGACTCAATCTTTCCTGGTTCTCTCAATTCTCCAACATCACAATCTAAGCTGATAGGAGGCCCTTCTTCGTTTTCTAACTGGATTCTGCATTTTACTGAGAAAGTGTCAATCGGATATTCGTTGTCATGGAATGAGACAACTGCGCAAAGAGCTATCCCGGAAAGCCTATTGTTACACCAACGTAGTTGCAGCTTTGGCTCTAACACTGAACCAACTGCTTGGTGGTTGAACCACGAAGGGACTTCAAATCCAGGATAGCAAAGGTTGAATGAAGCTCCTGAAACTACACCCTACAAAAAGCACAATGCAGAAGAAGAAGCATTAAGACTAAGGAATCAAGAAAAAAAGCAAAAGAGAGAAACTTTGAGAGAAAGAAAAAGACCCTATCGTAGCATTCAAGCGCAAGTCTATGGCATTTCCATTGGGCGTAGGACGAGATATCATCCCTTGCATCTTGTTCAAGATTGTTACAATTAGTGAAAAGGAAAGTGGAACGGATCTGCTCAGTCATCATACGAAGGGCCAACGGGTTCGCTACTGATTCAAGTCTCTCACAGCCATGTGCGTCGAAGAACTCGAGATTTGGTGGAAGCGTCGGAAGGTATCTAAGATTCTCGCAGTTCTTCAAGTCAAGCCATTTCAGACGATAAAGTTGACTGATGTTACCTTGCAGACGTACCATTGCATTGTTTCTACTCAAGCATAAACGCTGCAGTGAGTAAATCTCTGGCGTCTCTTTTATTCTTGTGCCATCAAGAAGTAAGATCCGCAGATATCTCATGTTTTCTATGTCCTTTGGAACACTCTCGAGCTTTGAACAGCCTGAGAGTATTAGCTCTTCAAGAGCTTTCTGTTTTCCAAGACATTCAGGAAGACTCTCCAGCAATTCACAACCTTTCAAATTCAATATGGAAAGTCTCTCCAGATTCCCAGTGGCTGGAGGAAGTTCTTTTAAAGCAGTGCCATCTAAATATAAAGCTTCCAGATTTTCCGAGATCACCTCAAATTCCTGAAGTTTCGAGCAGTTACTGAGTATGAGAATCTTCAGAGAGCTTAGCTTCATCACTGGGAGAAACTTGAGACGCTTACAACGTCTCATGTTTAGGAAGATGAGACTCTTCATGTTCTCCATCTCCTGAAGCAAGTTAACCAGACTTGTGCAGCCTTCAAGATTCAGTCTTTCAAGGTTTTGAGCATTTGACAAACCAGAAAGGTTGTTCAGTTTACGTGAATTACTGAGATCGACCCATTTTAGATTTGGGGTTTCCTGTAAAGAAGAAGAATTCAACCCCAAATAACTTTTATTTATTATTATTTCATGTATTTAGCTATAAGAGGAGAATTTTGGAATACAGTGTGACAAACCTTAACACCATCCCAAACTTGCTTAATAGAGCTGTAAGGCAGCTCGAGATTAACAAGCTTCTTTGCGTTGAAGTCTGATGGAAGTTTCTCCAATGGATATTTCAGCCAGTGGAGATACATCACCTTATCTAATGGCAACTGAAGCTCCTCAGAAATGCCAATTTTGAAGTCTGCTTTGCCTTCTTGAAGAAAAGCAGAACTGTATATTTTGAGATATAGAAGATTGCACATACTGCTGAAGATTTTAGCATCAACGCTCATTATCCCCGGAACTTCAGACATGTCTAGAAAAAAACCCCTGACATTTTTTATTTCCTACAGAAAATTAAGGAAAAACAGTTAGCAAACCACATAAAAAGGGTTATTACCAACACATTTTAAATTCTAGAGTATTTAGCACAACTAATACATGTTTCAATATGTTCAAATAATCTCACCAATTTGTTCTTCAGCACACAAATGATGTCTTGATGGTTCCACAGCCTGAATTGGATCCCTGTATTTTTAGCCAATGCTTGTGAAGCAAGCTCTTTGGCAAATGTGCACAACATATCATGCATCTCAACTCGACAACCAGAAATACTGACGAGAAACTTATCTGTCAGATCCCTCATGTCATCCCAGGCCTCAGAATCACATGAATCCACCAGGCATCTTACAAAATTTGCATTCTCTGATTTGAAGAAACAAGCAACGTCAAGAAAAGCATCTTTCTGTCCTCTTGTGAGTTCATCATATCTTCTGCTCAAGACATCTTGGATCATCTTATTGGAACGTTGTGTCAGTGTACCAATCCTCTGTTCCCAGTAAGCCTCGTCTTTCCCTCGAAGCTCTACACCCAAAGCCTTGAGAGCTAGTGGGTTGCCTTTGGCATAATCCAGAATGTTTCTGGACAGCTTCATGAATTTCCCCTTGGCATAATCCAAACCAAAGGCGTGATTAGTGAAGCACTGTAAACTGTCTCTGCTGTTCAATCTCGGGACTTCATACGTATCGTTCACAAGATCCTGAAGCAGTGACTCGTTGCTCGATGTAATAACAATCTTGCTTCCTTTCTTGATCCAGTCGCGTTTACCAAGAAGAAACTTGATCTGTTTCTTGCCACTAACATCGTCTAGAACAACAAAAACTTTCCTACTGAGAAGATCATCTTTCCAAAACTCATGTGCATTCTCTGTATATCCTATGTTAGGACGAATATCCTTCAAAAGCTCTTGCATCAATCTCTTCTGCAGCCAATCCAATCCGTGTTCCTTTGACATCGTACCAACGTCTGGAAAAAACATGCCGCTCTTAAACTTGTCTTCCCATTTTTCATACAACATTTTCGCAAGAGTGGTTTTGCCAATCCCAAGCATCCCAACAACTCCGACGAAACGGGTTTGTTCATAGCCAAATTGTAACTTCTCTTCAAGTTGCTTGAGGCGTTGCTCGACTCCAAATCTAGGTGTAGTATCAGGCTCTTCTCTTTCTCCTGTGATCGTTCTGTCAGTAAACGTTTCTTTGTTTTGATTCTTAGAGTTTTCTCTTTCTTTGGTCAAAGTCACGAGTAGCACTCTCTTCACATGCTCAACGATTGTGTCGACGAATTTGCTCTCGTCGCTAACCACACCAATGAAGAAAAATCAAATAGAATTTAGCAGATTAAGAATCGTTGCATCATTCAAAAGAACTCATAAAAATGCAAACACTAGAAAATTGCTGAAGCCAAAAGATCCTAATACACAACAATTTCATCTAAGGGATGGTTCAGAACTCGTTAAACCAAGATTCAAAATTCACTTGCGATTCTACCCCACGAACAGTTCCAAATGCAGAGGTGTTTCACATAAAAGTTGAATCAGAGTCATTAAAGTCCAGAGGTCGAAGTGAGTAGTAAAAATCTACTGAAACAAAAGCAACAATTTGTAATTGTCAAACCCAGATTTTGATTCGTGGACTGACCCAGAAAACCTTAATGCCGGAATTCGAAAATATGAGAGCAAAATCAAATTTTTACCTCTGTACATTCAAGCTTAGCCCAATGTTATTCGAAACAGATACAAGAGCTTCTTCCCATTTCATGATCCTCTCAGGCTCACTCCGATACTCCCAGTTCAGTTTCCTGAACTTGTCGCCGAAAGCTCCTTCCAGATTTTTACACGCGGTGGCGCTTAACCTGTAGAAAACGGGAATCACCACGAGTTTGCCTTCTTCCATCAGCTCCTTCATCTTCACGAGCTCATCCAAGCACCATCGCGATTCCGTGTACCTCTCGGAGAAAATCGCCACCGCGACTCTCGATTCCTCGATCCTCGCGAAGAGATTTTGCAGATCTGTACCTTTCAGCTCAATTTCGTCAGTGAACACGTTGATCTTCCCGAATATCATGGGCTTGACGAGAAAGCCGACAAAGCTTTTCCGTAGCTCGTCTCCTCTGAAATTGATGAACACTTGATACTGCGGTAGAGTGATTCCATCGTCCGCCATGGAAAAAAAAAAAAAAGAAGCTGGATCTTCAGAGGGTTCACACCTGAATCTCGATTTTCTCCTTATCGTTGATTTTGAAAAGAAGCGAATGACGACGACGATTCAGTAGGAGTCTACATCGTTTGACTCTCGAGTCTTTTCTTTTAAAAATTGAAATGCGAAAAACAAAAGCCATCGATTTAAAAATTGCGTGGGATTACTTTTGAGGATTTCAGTTTTTAAACATGACATCCAATTCGGGTTGACCGGATTCTGATACCGGGGTCGGGTATTGAGAAAATAGAGGAGTAGTTGGAGCTTTAGTCGGTAGGGTCAGAAATTAAGAATGACTAATTTTTATCTGTCTTGGTTATTTATTTTTTAATTTGAATCCACCGTAGAGAGAAATATGAATGATAATATTTTGTTTTTCAAAAGCATATATGTGAATTTTTTCAAAATTCGGAATTGTTAAACCAAGATTTTTCAAAATCCAGAAATCTAAGATACTGACATGTTTTTTATATATATAATTATTTCTATTGAATTGTTTTTTTCATGAAATAAACATAGAAAATAAATGTTTGATTTGGAAATTAATGTGTCATTTGAAAAAAAAAATTAAAGCTATTTTTATTGAATTCTCTTTCATCAAATAAAAATAAAAACAAATTTCAGTAGTTTTTAAAACACATTTGTGCTAAAATTTATGACTGCAGAATAAATTGTTGACTAGATTTCGGACCTGCGCTAAATACAGGTTTGAATTTAAAAATATTTTTGGCTCTTATATTATGTATTTACACAGTAAAAATAAAAAAATTGGATGAGATATTTTAATTAATTTATTATTATGTCCGAATCCAATATATTAGGCTAATATAAAATAAAAAGTCTATGTATTTTTGATATATTTTATTAGTTATTATTAACATTAACTTCATTTTTGTCCTTACAAATTTACGATAAGTTTAAAAATATTTTTAGCCAAAATTTTTTATGTAAAATATTTTGACATATTTAATTTTTTTTTAACTTAATTATTAGTAATATTCTGGACCAGAGTTTTATTTTGAAGCCTATCAAAAAAAATTGTCTAATATTTTAGCACATTCGAGAAGTGATATTTTTTTATTAATCCAATAGCAATACATGCAAACATAATCTTTTTTGTCTCAAATTGGATGCTCTCAAATTCTAAATTTTGTGATTGAGATCTTTTTCAATTTTTAGCTTCGATTCTTTGCTTCAGAAATCGGTAATTCTTCACGATTTTGATTCAAAAATTTTCTATAGAACCTGGTGTCTTATTGTTAATCATTTGAAAACAAGAAATCACAAAACAAATTAAGAATCATCTATATACAATTAAAGATGATAATACATACAACTAAGATATGTGATTCTGAATATTGTATGAAGACTACTTCTATTAAGACACATGTGAACACCCGTGATTTTTATATTAGTTCTCAGTCAATATTTATGTAATTTCTCTTAGAGAATAATTGAAACAATATGTTATAAAAAAACTCAAGCATACTTATACCCATAAATTATGTGGTTTTGTAATTATAATTTTTTAAAATGTGATTCGTGAACATTATACTAAATATTTTAGTTATTTTTAAACAAAAATTGTCATAAAATTATGCAATTAGTATAGAGTCTGATAGAAATTATTATGATCATAACGATTATATTATATATATGTTTAAAAAATTAGATAAGAAATATATGTTAAAGAAAAATTATCTTGTTCAAATTTATAAATTTAATCCAAATTATTATATAAAAAATGAGATTTCAGATTTTGTTATATAATTTTTTTTTTGTTGTTGTAAACTTATCAATGATATCTCATAATTTTTTTTGATAATATATCTATTTTGAAAGAAGAAGAAAAATGAAAAAAAGTTTGAACTATTTTTTTGGGAGATTTATTAATGAAAATTTGTTAACTGCCCACAAAAATAATTTATTTACATAATATTGTTTTCATAGTATATATGTAACCAAAAATAATTATTACACATTCATCATCGACTATAAATTGGCACATTTAGTAAATATTATAGTATTTTGGACATTTTAAAATAGTACTTCTCTTTTAATAGATAATAAAAATTGATTATAATATAATTATATTTAATTTATAATATAATATATATAATTATATTAGTCATTCATGACATATATATGATTATTATGTTAAGATATTATATGATATAATGAAAGATTCTGAAATAATTTTGAAAATAAATTAAATTAAATTATATTAGTACCATATATAATTGATTGATATTATCTGTTAACAAATTAATATAATTTACTTTCATTTAATGCATTTGTTAACAGTTAAATGATAAAATAAAATTACCTTTAATGAAATGATTAAATTTTCTAAAAAAATCAGTGGTACATTTAGTAAATATCATGATAGTTTTTGGACATTTAAAATTAATGTTTCTCTTTCAATAGTATAGATATTTTTTTATATAAATCATCAAGATATATATCATAATTGCCATATTTTTTTGCATAACTTGAGTTTGTGCTCTCTATATGTCTTAAATTACCAAATTAATATCTAGTTTTCTTGATGCATTTGAGTTAAAATTTTAGATTTTAATAAGACTTTGAGATATTGTATTTGTGTCGGAAAGAAAAATCTTATAAAATAGAATCCAGATTGTAATAATGATAGCAGTTTGAGCTTCAATGGGGAAGAGAAAGAAGGAGTGAACATTATTCGAAAAATAGTTAAAAACAACGATTACATATTTATTTTTTAATTTTCTCACATATTTTACTCTTTAATGACACTTTATTATTATTAGTTTATTTTCTCTATGTTTTCAGAAAAAATGAGATACCTATTAATTAAATTATGTCTTTTGATTTTTCTTAAAACATGTTATATTTTGTTTATTAAATTTTTAACATATGTCAGAAACTAAATAATAAGATTACTATGTGTCACATCGTTGTAAAACTATCTAAAATATCCAGTAACTTGCATTTTAATTTAATACTGTACATATATAAATAGATGTTACGAGCAGACTACAAAATTCCAATCACATTACTTTCATCATTTCTATTCAAATTCCAAACTTTTTTAAATTTTCTAAAATGGTTAATTATACATAATTTTACACATTCAGAAACCAGTATTGTTTATATAATGAATTCATAAAAAAAATTAATTTCATTTCATTTTTTTTTTGCAGGAACAATGTACGTTCAAGTTTAGTCCGATTGATGAAAATGCCAAGAATAAAGCCAGGGATTACATCATTAATTGCACAGGTACAGTAACACAGCCAGGCTTCAATTATAAACCCTCAATTTGTATAGGTATATAAGCAATCAGGGTTTAAAATTCTAAACAATGTTTACCAATGAAATTTTTCTTTGTGTTAAGAGTTAAGGATATAACATTAGAAGACGGGATACTTACTGTGAAGGGAAAATGACTAGATAAAGAGAAAATGCAGAAGAAGTTGGATAAGATTTTTTCAGGGAAAAATGGGTGTTTTCGTATTTTCGTTCCTAATAATATTATGTTTATTCATGTTTCTGTATTTATAAAAAAAATTGGTTTTTAATTAACAATTTTATGGTTTTTATTTACGTCTTCATATTCAATAAAAGTGTTTGAATTTTTTTTACTAACTATTCATGATTAAATTTTGGTTATATTATATTATTTATATAATATTCTTTCGTTTGATGATATTAATCTACACATATAGTATTTTATTTTAAATAAGAAGAGACGTTTACATATATACATATTTTTTGGACATATGTTTACAATTTAGACACTATTTGACTATAGGTACATTTTTTTATATATTTTACACACTTCAGTCCTTTATTTACTCTCTATATATTATATTGTTAGTTTTTTTACCTAAAATTATTTTATTATTACTGTTTTTAAGTTGTGGCTGAAGAATGGAAAAAAATAAACAGCAATGACGGAGGATCTGAAAATAATACGACGGCGGAAAACCAACATGGTGGTAGTGATTCTGCAAATGGTGCGACGGTGGAGAACCAGCACGGTGGTAGTAATTCTGAATATGAAATCAAAGACAAAAAAAGCTTAATCTTCCGTCTCTTCCGCACCCACCATCAATTTAATCGATCTCATTCGATCTCTGACGAACTTATGCAAACTTTGATGAGATTACAAGCATAGATCCATCTAGCCTCTCATGTAAATCAATTTTCTCTTTTTTTGCTTGTATTATATGAGGGCATGATTAGTAGAATTTGTATTATTATTGTAAGATGTGAAATTTGTGTGATTTGTTGCAGATTCTCGTGATGCGGAAGATTCAAAAGGGTCCTAACAAAATTCATAACATCATCATCATCCATACTGAGTGTCCATACCGTTTCATCCATATTAAATTATAGTTGTGTTTTATGATTGCTGAAACATGTTATTTTACTTTCTTTATCATTTGGATCAGGCGCAGATTTTCTTATCATTTGGATCAGGAGCAGGAAAAGTGAAAAGATAATACACTAATGTATACACACTAATGGACAAGAGTAAAGGACACCCTTTCATGGAGACCTTCTTGTGGTGCGAGAGATTCAGAAGGCTTCTAATAAAATTCATCATGTATGCTCGCACATCATCATCCATACTGATGTGTTCATACCGTTCATCCATGCTAAATGGTAGTTGTGTATTATGGTTGCTGAAAACGTTATTTTACTCTTTTTTTATCATTTGGATCAGGGGCAGACTATCTTATCATTTAGATCAAAGGCAGGAAAAGTAAAAGGAATACACTCATGTATACAAGCTAATGGAGAAAAGTAATGGACACCCTCTCATGGGCTCCTTTTCTTGGACAAATTATATGGACACCCTCTCATGGACACCTTCTCATAGACAGATTTTATGGACACCTTCTCATGGATACCTTTTCATGGACGATGGTGCCAAACTCGAGTACTTAGAAATTGATGATGATAATGGTACTTGTGAAAATGTAGATACTTTGTCCACAGTCCTTTGACCATGGTGCATTGTCCACGATTATGTGGTCAATACGGATGAATAGATAAAGATCAATAAATGCAACATTAAAATCCTATTTGAGACTTCAATATTGCTACGTACTAATGTTTTGAGTCACTATATCCACCTTGGGTTGACCATATG